TTAAGTAATGTGGAATTTAGGGAAAATGAGAAGGATAAGGAAAGGACTGAAATACTCGTATAACTTCTGTTCTAAACTGAGAGAAAACAGTCTTAAAGAAAATAATCCTTTCAATGTTCAGAGCCTAATGAATATGTTGTAAAATCCCAGATACCATGCATTCTGAGTCCATGTTCACCAAACTACAGACTTTTGGATCCCTTATTTAAATCGATCTATGTATGTGTGTATATATGTATGTACCTGTAAACAAATATCATGTACGAACCATTGGTGACAGGGAGGAAGCCCATTAAAATGACTAAATCTGCATTTTGGCTTACAAATGAAAATTTCTGTTTGCAAGCAAGAATTAAATCACCAGAGCTCTGATGAACTCAAAGTCCCTTCATCTTCTCCATACGGTCTTCCCTCAGTATTTGAGGGAGATGGGCTCCATGACCCTGTGGCTGCCAAAATCCGAGGATGCTCAAGTCTCTTAAGTAAAATGGCATATCTGCATAACCTATGCAATCCTCCCCCATACTTTGAATCATCTCTAGATTACTTATAATACCTAATACAATGTAAATGTTATATAAATAGCTGTTATATTGTATTTTTAAAAATTTGCATTTTTTAAATTGTTGTACTGTATTATTATTTTGGGGGTTCTTTTTGGATATTTTCCTTTTGGAGTATTGACTGGCACCACCATCCACCCAGTAGCCGAAGCCAAGGAATCATCCTAAATTCTCACTCCATCTCTCCAATCGAACCTACCAGTGTGTCTTATTAATTTTATCTCTAAAATACATCCTGAAAATATTCACTTCTCAAACCCACAGTTCAAGCTACTATAGTCTTTGCCTAGGCCACTGCATCAGAACCTAATTGGTCTCAAATGTTCCATTAATGCCCCTCTCCTTTCCTCTGCACAACACTAAGATGCAAATAACTTCTGTTTCTCCTCTGGCTTAAAATCACCCAACTATTTCCTATTGCACTTGGAATAGACTTCAAGTTCCTTACCATGGCTTATCGGTGTTCCCTGCTTACTTCATCACCTTGCTCTTCCTTAATCACTATGCTGCAGCCACTGGCCTCCCATTTCTTGAACATGCCAAGAACATACCAAGCTTGCTGCTACCTTAGGGCCTTTATACTAACTGCTCCCTTTGTCTGGAATGCTTACCACTCAAATATCACACATTTGGCTCCTTTTCCTCCCTGCCAAGTCTCTACTAAAAGCCACTTTTATAACTGCTTAATTCTTTTAACACTACATTTCAGGCATCTTTCCATGAATATTGAAGATTTATCTTTCAATAACTGCATTGCACATTGTGCAAGTATGACAAAAAATTTAAATAATACTCTTGGGAAAAACCACACTCTGTTTCTCTCCTACCATACTATACCCTAATGACACTTCTGACACCAGATGTGAGGGCTTTTCCATATCAAGCTGTTCTTCAGAGGACACCAACTGAATGTTCTATAATTCAATTCAATTCTTTTTTTTTTTTTTTTTGTCTTTTTTCGTGACCGGCAACGGATCGCAACCCTCAGTGTCGCGCCCGTACCAGACTGGGACCGGCTACGGGATCACAACCCTCGGTGTTGCACCCGCACCTCGCTCAGCCAGTGAGCGGCCGGTCTGTATGTGGGATCTGAACCCTCGGCGGGAGCGCCGCCACGCTCCCAAGCGGCGCACTGTAGCAGTGCGCCACCGGGCCGGCCCCAATAATTCAATTCAATTCTGACACTATTGGAGATGATGTCAGCTCTCACAGTTTAAGGGCTCAGTCTCACAAAACTGCCCCCACTTCAAACACCAATAGCAAATCCCAGGTGTGTTATCAAAAGAGGTTCACTCCTATTAGGAAACTCCAAAGGACACTGTGCCAGGAAGCAAGAAGAAAGACCAAATATATCTCTTGTTATACCACACATGCCCTCTCTTTAACAATTCCTAGTGTTCCAAAATTATGAATGATGCTGCAGCACATCTTTGTAAACACATTTGTGCATGTCTCTAATAATTTTCTTAAAATAAATGGCTAGAAGAAAATCAGGAATTTAAAGCTACACTGTCCAATATTTATCCATTACCTACATGTGACTATTTAAATTAATTAAAATACAGTTCCTCAGCTGTACTATCCATATTTCAAGTTTTCAATAGCCACATGTGGCCAGTGGCTACCATACTGGACAGTGAAGATATAGAACATTCCCATCATGGCAGGAATTACCACTGACAACCCTGGTGTAAAGAAATGTTCATATAAAAATTTGATATCTGTATCCCATAGAAGTGAAGTAGCAATTTAAATTACCAATATTATTATGTGAATTCCTATGCCCTCTTCTTTTTAACATTAGATCAATGATCTGATTTAATAAATGAAACATAATGTTTTAATTTACATTTTTTATTAGTGAGGCTGAAAGTCTTTTCACATTTTTTTGCCATTTGTATTTTTTGTTGAACTATCTAAACTTTGTCTATTTTAAGAGAATCAAGTGTAACGTTATCCTGTTCCCAATGACCTATAAAAACCAAATCACATATACAGTGAAGATACTACCTCATCTATTTTGCTAGCTTCCTAATTTCACAAAGATATGTGTCAAAACAGCTTAAAATAGCTAATAGAGTAGTACCACAATTAGCTAAAGGCAGCCTGCAGTCTCCCAGGTTGTTTTCTTAAGATGGAGTTAGTGGCTTACATTTCTATAAGTAACAGGACTATCACCGCATTTATGTTGATGCTATGATATATTCTTACACATTTTCAAATTCAGTTATAAAAACATTTAGGTTGATATGCAAAACATAAAACAATCAAAAATGGTTACATTTTAAAAGTGAGTACTACTGTATGATTATATCTCTATGAAAGTCTGAAACAGGAGAAAACCATCAGTGGGAAAGGAATCAAAACAGTGGTTCCTTGGGTCTGTGGGGGAGAAGGAGTGGCTGGTGAAGTGCACAAAGGAAGTTTGTGACATGATGAAAATGTTCTATCTCTTGATAGGGATGTGAGTTACACAGGTATATACAATTGTTGAAATTCATTGAAATGTACACATTAGATCTTATTCTGTTTCACTATACATAAATTATATCGATTTTTAAAAAGAGGAAAAAAGTGAAAAAATATTGAGAAATCTACAGCATTAAATTATAGTCAAGAAAAGTACTATCTTGGGCCGGCCTGTGGCTCACTCGGGAGAGTGTGGTGCTGATATCAGCAGGGCCACGGGTTTGGATCCCATAGAGGGATGACCGGTTCGCTCACTGGGTGAGCGTGGTGCTGACAACACCAAGTCAAGGGTTAAGATCCCCTTACCGGTCATCTTTAAAAAAAAGAAAAGAAAAGTACTATCCTAAAAATATTTATAGAACTTAAAATATGATTTCCTGGCATAGAAGACCAAAAAAAAAAAAAATTTTTTTTTACTAAACTGGGAATGGGGAACAGAGTATGTCACACTTTGAGCCAAACTATTCAACTGTCAAACCCAGATGCCACTAGAAAATTCACTGTGATATCAGGACAAAATATATTAAGGTATCAGAAAAGCACTGCTAACTTTTTACATAGATGTGTAATCAATGTTTCCAAAAAGCCTGCACTAATGACATGAAAGCTGAACCTCAAAAATACTTCCTGGAAAATCATTTCTCTAGTGCTATGGAACAGTACTTGATTTGATTTTGCAAGCCTTTTCTGTTTAGGTAGTTTATGAACTTGGCTCATTTTTGCCTTTTATCCTCCTTTCTGGTGGCACAAAAACTAACACATTCACATTAAAACCAACAGATTTGATAATGAAAAGTCCCTAAGGACAGAGAAAGATGCTCCTCCCCATCCCATACAATCTCCCAACCCCCACTGTTATACTGCACATTTATTACTCATCCCATTACCAATCTATCATAACCTATTCAATGAGTGAGCTCTTCAGTGGCATAAACTACAATCTCATTCAAGTTCTTTGCAGACAGGCTCAGACATTATGGTAACATTCTAAACAACTATGCTTGTCAGATCAGAAGGAAGGATATGTGGAGAACACCAAGACTTCTATCTCCACAAGTGAAGCCTTGCCCAGTGAAGGATGTGGCCCAGGGGCAAAGAAGCAGGTGAGCGTACATTTTATTAGTGTTTCTGTTTTGTAGGAAGATATGTTTTTGTTACTAAATTCCACATTATACTTTGGCTTTGGAATAAAACCTGAGTTTGGGAATCAGTTCTGCCACTTACAAGGTATGTGATCTTGGGCAAGCTACTTCTCCACTCTAAGCTCTGTTCTGTTATGGGGAATGATAACAGCATATATTTCATAGGTGTGTTGTGAGGAGTGAATGAAAACACAAGTAAGATTTTAAGCTAAGGGGCTGGTACATTGTAAGTGCTAAACAAATGATAGCTCTATCATACACAATTCTGTTGTGAGCTAGCCACTGCCATTTGTAACCAAAACACCACCAACATAGTCAGGCAGTCATATTTTACTAACAAGGGATTAACACAAACAGGAAGCATATCATAATCCTAAATAGTCTTACAAAAAATGTTCACTACAGAAATTTTGGCAGCCAACCATAGAAAGGTCATTTAAACAAAGCTAAAAAGGTGTGTGTGTGTGTGCGTGTGTGTGTACACGTTAGAAAATAATGTTAGAAAACTCCTGATAGGTAGGCACACTCCTTCATTGTCATGCTATTGATTTACGTCAGATCCATCACTATGAAAGCAATAAGGACGCAAAGGGGCAAGTTACTCTTTACCACAGATGAAGTCTATGATATGCTATCAACCACACTTATTCATTTTTAAAAGCAGTTTTGGGCTGCCCAGTCAGCTCATTTGCTTAGAGAGTGGTGCCGATTAACACCAAGGTCCAGGGTTTGATCCCTGTACTGGCCAGCTGCTGAAAAGAAAAGAAAACAAAACACAACAAAAAAGTTTCAGGGGCAGATTGTGCACAATTAAGAAAATATTTACCTGTTTCTCTTCATCTGGCATGTTTTTTTCCAGTTCTACTAGGTATTCTTCATCTAGTTCAGAGGAATTCACGTCATCATCAGGTTTTTCCTCAATCTTAACCATTCCTGGCTCTTCTTCCTCAAATGAGGCACTGCAGTCATGAAAACACTCCTCTTCTCCCTGGTCCTCCTGGGGATGATCATCCTTGAGCAGTTTGCTCTGGAAATGCTGATCTTTGGGATCAGGAACTGGAAGGCTGGCACACTCTGCTTCCTGGGGATCTGTAACCTTCAAACCATTGAGCAGATCCTCTGGAACTCTACAGTTCTCTGATTTCTCCCCCATGCTGAAATCAGTGAGGGAGGTGAAGCTGAAGCTCTGGCAAAGAAAAAATATCTGCTATGGAACGATGCTTATACTAAAAAAAGATTCTGCCTTTCAAACGTAAACAAACCTCTGCATCGATGCCCAAAAACACACCTTAATTTCCTTTCTGGAATTCATTATAAAAAAATAGGTTATCATAATTCCATAAATAATGCCAAATGTCATTTTAACTGACACTTCTCTCCTGGTCAAATCTGGTACCAGAACAAAAAAGACCGATTTTAACGTGACTCTTCCATGTTCCACTGCTCGCGTTTTGTCCAGGTAGCCAAAATAAGCAGAAGCTAAAACAGTTGCAGGAAAAATGAAGCGGCCCTAATCTTTGTTCAGAATGAATAATCAAGTCGTGAATAAGAAACTGCAGTCTGTCTTTCTAGCACCACCATAGGAAGCCCAACAATGGAATCCGTGCCAAACCGCGATCATCTACTTAACCCAAATGCATGTGGTAGAGCCCACGCAGCTTCAAGTGAAAGGGGAGCCCTGGCGAAGGTGGTTCTAACCAGGATTCCCGTGGGGGTCAGAACCACTAGAAGGATGGTTCTCAATCCTAGCTGCACAACACTACACTTGGGGTACTTTAGAAAATACCGCTGCCAAGACTCTGCCCAGACGCTGATTTATTGGTCTGCGGACAAAGGCATCTGTAGGTTGGTTGGTCTGTTTTAAAGAATCATCCCAAGTGATTCCTAAGTGCAGCCAATTGCGAACCACTGCTCTAGAAGCTGAGTCAGACCGTCAGCAGGCCCGCCCCTCTGGTGGCAGCAAAATCACGCCAACGACCCTTGTGCCGCGACAATTCCGAATTCGCCCTAGCTCGTCCCAAGAAAACTTAAAACAGCAATATCTCAAAACGGAGACTTCTCCACAGCAATGTCTGTTTCTCCCTGCTCCCGGGTCTAGTAGAAGAACGCAGGAATTTGAGCCCCCACGGTTACAGAAGTGGCAGTCCTCGTTTCCCAGCAGATTATCCCCTATCGGCGTGCCCCACTGCCAATCTGCCGGACCCACCGAACCACCGAGATACTCACAGCCTCACCGATCCTTGCGTCTCCACCTTCCTAGCCTCTGAGATCTTCTACTTCCGCTCGGTCATGTGCACTTCCGTTGGCGCCGACCACTGGCGTCACTGTTGGCAAAGCATCCTGGGAAGTGTAGTGCAAACCTCAAGACGAGAGCGTGTCGCTGTCGCTGTGTGACGTCATTGTACGCACTGAAATGTGAGAGAAGGTTGCCATCTTGTGTTACGGCAAGGCTGCGTTACTCAGCACAAGAGCAAGAAAAAAAAAAAGGGAAAAGAGCCTGTCCCTATGGTGTTTGTTTTACTCTTTCACACTGAACTCTCTCGTGCTAGCAATGTATAGAGGAGTCCTAAAGCATAAACTTTTACAAAAATAGAATTCTCCCTCCATGGGTTCTCAAAGTGTGCCTTTTAAGGGGTAAACAATTTTCAAAATAATACTGATGCTGGAGAAAGGGTCTGGGGATTCCCAGGTAGCGTGCCCTAACCCACGCTGTCCTCTGACCAGGTTCTTGACTCCGCTGCAGGAAAGAATTCAAGAGCAGAGTCACAGTAGAAAGTGAGAACAGGTTTAAGGTAATAAATAAGAGATACAGACTTCACAGAGAAATTGCAGCATAGCTCCAAAGACTGAGCAGGGCCCACTCCAAGTTTAACACACAAGTAAGAAATACACACTTAAAGTTCAGTACAGAGTGCAGGCTGGCTCAAGAGAGTGAGCAGCCACCTGCTAAAAGTAAGTTTGATACAAAAGAAAGCATATATACCTCAGCCAGCAAAGTGAAGAGAGTTTTGCTATCTAATACATATTCATGATATCTAATAAATATTCAATTATGGGGGGTGGTTCCCTGTTATGTAACATAGCCTTGCACATGCTCAGTTGGTCTCTTTTAGGGCATGTTCCCGGCTGAAATCCTATCACACGCAGCAGACATAATCAGGAATATTCTGTGCTCTTTAGTGCCCCTAGTGGAAGGTCATTCAAAGGGTTAAACTCCCTTCCACGGAGCATTCTCGGCTACCAGGGTTATAGAAACCTTAACTACTGAGCATGCCCAGCCACTGGATTTGCATAAGCCAACTCCTTGCTGTCTCAATTTCGCATAGTTGGTGCGATATATAGGTCTAACTAGCTAGGGTAACTTTCCTTTAGGGGAGGGGCCTGAGACCTTGGAGAATGGCTTGAAACCGAGAGATGTGTTCAGTGACCCCAGTGCCTGGAAACCAAGCACTTCCTATCTCAATACTGTTGTTATTTGCCTTTATCACACTAATTTTCTCATGAGCGTACAGTGGAGTTTTCCAGAGGCTATAATAGGTCATGTGATAGTGCGGTTGAATGAAGAAGGAGATATGAGAATCCAGCTATTTTCTATAAGTCAGAGATTTGTAAAAATGTAAAAAATGTCACTCTTCTCAGTATATTTTTTGTTTTGGAAAGTATAATCATTACTCAAAAATATTATTTATGTTGGTATACAATGACCTGTATTGTTATCTTGAATGAATAATATTTTTAAAGTTTTCAGTTCTAATTTCTACTATGGTAAATTTTAATAAGTATAACCCATGTAAACAAAAGCTTTTTGTGATCCTCAATAATTATTAAGAATGTGAAGGGGACCAAAAGCAAACTGTCGCCCTATACATTAATTCAAGAAATGTTTATTGAATGTTTATTAGATCCCAGGCACTATGCTGGGAATACAGAATTGAAATACAGTGTTCACACTCAAGGTAACCAACCAGTAATCAGAGCAGAGCCTTAATTAGTTTTGGGTAATTTGCAAAACCTATTGCAGAGATAGATGGGAAAGACTTTTTTGGGAAGGGTATCAAACTTGTGTTTTTTTTGTTTGTTTGTTTTGTTTTGTTTTGTTTTTTGTCCTTTTTGAGACTGGCCGTGCCGCGCTCAGCCAGTGAGCGCACCGGTCATCCCTATATAGGATCTGAACCCGCGGCAGGAGCTGCTGCACTCCCAGCGAGCGCCACACTCTCCCGAGTGCGCCACGGGATTGGCCCCCAAACTTGTGTTTTGAATTTATATCTAATTGAGGTTATGCATACAGTTGTATTTTCATTTAAGTTGAAAGCTTTAGTATGTTTAAAGTAAACATCAAAAACATATCAGATTTTTGGAAATTTTTTAATATTAATTTTTTTAGTACACCAGAATCTTCACAAATATAAATGGTTAGGTCTCTTTAAGAGGTCCTGCTAATTAAATTCTGGTATAAAGGGAAGGCTGTGAATTTTGGAGTTAAATAAATAAGACAAATGAAGAAGTACGGTGTTAGCTTTCTTACCTTATTTTTATTTATTCTTTTTTTGGCAGCTGGCCAGCTCAGGGATAGCTGTCTTACTTTATTAGCTGTCCAACTTTGAACAATAATCCTAGTTGCTAATATTCATTGACTATGTGTTTATTAAGTGCTACCTGCTGTAAAAAAAATCTTTAAGTTGAATTATTTGATTATTTGAGTTATAATTCTGGCTCTGCTGACTAACTGTGTGTCTTTGGGCAAGTTGCTTAATGCTTCTAAACTTAAATGTGTAAATTTACTACATATGTAAAAATTGAGATGAGTAAGAATGGTGCCTACCTCATAAGTTTGTTGAGAGACAGAAATTATATAATGTAGAGTGCAAAGATCACAGGGCATGGCACATAGTGTTTAATGACTATTAGCTACAATAATAATATGTGACAGGCCTTGTGCCAGTAGCTGGGGACATGAAGCCTATTAAGAGATAGTCCCTGCCCTCCCCCAATGTCAAGAGCTCACAGGCTAGTGGGAAAGCAGAGAGAAGGATAAAGGAGCTACTGAGCCCAAAGGAAGAAGCATTCTGTTCTTCTTTTTACACCAAGAGGAATCAAAATCCAATTGGCCGAGTTTGGTAGGTCTTCATTAATAAGATATTTGAGTTAGGCTGTTAAAAGAGGAATAATTCATTCAGTGGAAACCGGAGAGGCTATAGGACATGGAATCAGGAGCAGGAAAATATCAGGAGCATTATTGGGAACATTTACTAGTTGAATGTTGCTGAAGTATAGAGCATGAAGCAAAAACCAAATTTTTAACGATGGAAGCCCAACCACCAGTTCCTGGAACCACAAAGATTTTGTCTCTTAGTCCTTACAACTTCCCTGTAAAAGGAAAAGATATGTTTTTCACTTAGAGGATGGTTCTGTTGTTATTTCCCCAGGACAGAGACCAAGTCCGACTTGCTTTCAGTTGTGAGGGGTCAGTGAACATCCTGTTATCACATGGGTGAATGATCTTTTCATGAATTTATGGCCCAGACACTGGGTACTCAGTTCTCTGAGTTGAGTAAATAGATATCAAGACATTTGGAATTGCATTATAGCATTGTTGTAAGAATTAAATGGTGTTATGACTAACCTAAAACACAGAAAATGAAGTGTTCAAGACAGAAAAAATACTTTAATAATAATAGCACTTAACACAATAAGTACTCAATAAATGTTTTTATTATACTCATTAGTATAAATGAAGCTCTCACAGATATTACCACTATTATAATCAACTACTAATAGTAATAGTAATTTTGTCAATTACTACTACTGTTACTAATAATTATTAATAATATTATTAATACAACTAATAGTAATTTTGTCAATTACTACTACTGTTACTAATAATTATTAATAATATTATTAATACTGGTAATATTTGCAATGCTTCCATTCACTCTCCCCGGACAGTGAGCTGAGCACCTAAGTATGTTGAAAGAATGGATGTTGAACATGAATGAATGATCAATGAATGAATGATAGGCATCATACTAGGTCCAGTGGTGGGTATAGCAATAAATCAAGAAATTAGCAAAGGAACCAGGTCCTCCTCTGCTTTTCTTCCTGGGAGAGTAATTGGGTGGTTTCTTAATGACATATGCTCACCCTTCAATCAGTAAGAAGCTGTCCACTTAATCTGTGGCAAGATATGGGAGAAATGAGCAAGTCTTAGCGTGACTGGGAATAATACAGGATAGAAGTGAAGGAGTGTCTTCCTCAAGGGAGGTCCTTTGAGTCACCAGCATGACAGCTAGGTTGCTGTCCAGTGTGGTGGTTAAAAGTGTAGATTCTGGAGTCAGTCTGCCATGGTTCGAATACCTGCTCTGCCTCTTACTAGCCGTGTAGTCTTGGACAAGTCACTGAATCTTGATAATATAGTCTGGATATAATAGTGATATCTACCTCATGAAGTTTCATGAGACTTAAATGAGATAACAAATGTAGAGCACTAGTGCAGACCATGGCACATAACCTTAACTTAAATTGCTTTGTGGACAATCCGCAGGCAGAGGCAGAAATATCTCCTGCCTCCTTGGTGACTTATGCACATGCTGTGCTAAATTTTGGGAAGGTCTGTGCATTTATATTCACTGGATCTAGAGATTTAAATTTATGCTAGACTGACTCAGGTCTTCCTGTGCTCAAAGTGGATGTACTAATACCATGAGGCTTACTGAGCCCAGTTTTGGGAGTAAAATCTCACACTCTGGGGCTCCATCTCTCCCTTTCCCCCAGAGTTGGGGTCCTCAGCTTGCCAAAGCAGGGTCCAATGTCCAGGAACTGTCAGGGATGCCAGAAGAATTCCTTGAGAATGAAATGTATATAAAATTTGTAATTAAGACAAGGATCCTGCATTCCCTCTGTGTTTCCAAAATATGCTATTGCTGTTTATTTTTTCAAGATTCCAATGTTCAAATTGAGATTTCCGATAGAAGACATACTCAAGAGTTAACATTCTGTGCATTTAAATTTCTAGGTTTCTGGCTTCCAGTCAAGATGGTAGAATAGACAGTCCCCAGTGTCACTCTCTTCCACAAATCAACCAATTTACAACTATTAAAAAGCAACGACAGCCAAGCTGGGGCCACTAGAGCTCAGGGGAAGAGGAGGAGAGACCTGTGGAGTTCATGAAGGTGGGAGAAGCCACAATGAGAGAAAGAAAGAACTGCTCCAACCATTTTAAGCCCCAGCCGCTTCAAGTCTGGAGCTGGTGAGCACACAGAGTAAGATCTGACAAAAGCCACAGCTGTGCCCTTT